GTGCAAAAGTAAGAAAACTTTCGAGAGTGAAAGAGGGATAGAAAGTGAGATTTGATAAGAATGGTAGAATTCTTATAAATCTGGAAAAATCTTTCTTGTATGATTTCAAGTGTTTAAATCATGTGTTACTTTGGTAATAAAGTGTTGGAAGAGGATTTCTTCCTGTTTAAATCACTCTAAGTGTTGAATCTTGCTGGTAATCACATTTTTCTTTCAAGTCCGTGAGTTCAGAATCAATTTTAAAGCAATAGTGCAAATACGGTAAGTTGCAAGTATATCCGGTATGAAGAAGCAATATCTGGTATGCATAAGCCATTTACGGTAAGTTCAATTTCAGCCAATTTTTCACCTTTTCTGCTGGTGCTTTGCCGATTACTGAGCTTCTTAAATAAATACAAAGTAAAGAGCCTCCAAAAATCCCAACACTTTCTTCTGTGATTTCTTTTTGATGCTGTATTAATCCTGTATGGATCCTAACCATCCGCTCATCGCATTCATCTTTCATTTATTGTAGCAATTGGCTATGACATTCCTGATGCAAGAAAGTGCAACCTACAGAACAGAATGGCCATTCTAAACAAGATTGGGGAAAGTGTCATAAATTTTTTTGATAAAACAACTTGAAAAAATGAAGCCTGGAATCATTCTTCCATGTCAAGAGCTATCCTGTTGCTCTGTCTTGATCATCTTGCTTATGCACATCTATCTTTACACTTTGAGTCCAGATATTTATATGCTCACAGAATTGTGAAATTCTTCAAGAGAGAATTTTTCTGGACTCAAAGTTAATTTTCGATGTGTACATGGTTATGCAAAAAATGAAAAACTTGAACTTACTCAAATAAAAGGCAAATTTATGAAAATCTACCAGGTTATAGGAACCATTTTGAATATACAAAATTTGGCATGAGAACCAAAAGTATCCTGTTAGAACTTTATGATGATTGAATGTGATGGCCTGCTATGAAATGACTTGGAATATCAGCTTCAGTTGCTCATCAAACATTTGGTTTTTTTTTAACTCATTGATACTGATTCACTGTGCTACCTTCAGGGATTGCTGTTTAAGGGAAGCTGCTTCAATAGCTTATGCTGAAACATGTGCGCCTTATCACACATGGGCAGTCAGGACTGCTGCTGGTATGTACGCCCTGCCGACAAGGGAACAGCTACTGTTAGGGCTAAATGAAAGCGGTGTGTTTACTCGCACGATTTCCATGTTGCATACTTGGCCTCATTTTTATGGCCACTAATGAAGGTTTTTACTGTGATTGGAACACCATGTCATAGTTTCAACTAGTAAAGCAAAATCGAGAGAATTAGAAATGGATCTAACTCTATGAATGATATATGTTAATGTGCAATAGAATTTGCAGTGAGTTAGTTAAAGAAGATTCGTTTAAGAGCTCCATCATGAACTAACAAATGAAAGCGAGATCCATTTCCCAAGTTGGCTATGGATTCAAACTCTTATTTAGCTCTTTGTTGAATACTATAATGATTTTCTAGACCAAGGCTATCAAAATGCATCATTTCTGCAAACACCCTTTGAATTTCTATGATGGATGGAAAACATTTGAGTTTATGATTGTTCTTTAAGCATAAACGAGCTGCTATTCTAATAAAAATATGCCTCCTCTATCCAAATTTTCTTGTCCGTACCAATATTCCCCACTTGTGGGAGAGTAAATCTCAGAGAGAATCTAGTATTGACTTACACTAAGAATTGATTACTTTCATTATATGCTAGTATCTAACGAAAAATCAATTATCTTGTCTGTGTTTGTGGTGCTTAAGATCTACTTTATAAACTTGAAACAAAACTGATGTGTTACTTACCTTCTATTACAGACGACTCTGCAGAGAAAGAAATGCAAAGATACATTAATGCCTCACTTCCGATTATACAATACATCGATAAGTTGTACACTTCAAGAAATATCGGCTTGGACTGGTGAGCTCTGCTTCATATGGAAAACTGCTGGTGTAAGTTCTGTTTGGAGGGCATTTCAGAAGCAAGAAAGAACTTCTGCCTGTTGGGATGAAGCTTTTCTGATCAGTCCCAACTTGAATAGTCCCTGCCATTAACAATTTTGTAGGTCTTTACACATGTTCTTCATGTTGAGCCTTAGTAGATCTGTAAATGTTGATGGACATGGATGCTTTTGCTTGGTTGTTTCCAAGCCGCCATGATGCATTCATAGGAGTAGCAATATTTTCTCTAGTCAAAAAGTAGCGTCCAATAGCTAATGTTTCAGCAGATAGTATTACCATGTTTTTTTAGATGAACATAGAATTCTGCACAATGCTCTTAACGTTGCGTGTTGTGTTGTGTTGTCTTCATCACTTTGTGAAAATTTGTTAGGCATGAATATGTTAGATACTAGTGGATCTGGGGAACACTACCTGTCCAAATTGCGAATGGACAAAGTACATGTTTGGCTATGCTTTGGAAAATATACTTAAAAAAGTTTACTTGTGAGTAAATAAGTATGTCTTATATTAGTCAAAGATGAAAATAAACTAGTTGGTTTGAAAGTAACACTTGCATTACTGTCATAACAAGCAACTCTTTCCAAATAAGTGAAATATGTAATTTAGAGAGGGAGAGAGGCTAGAATTACAAGATAAATAACAGTGTGGCCATTCATATGATATAACTAGCACCAACTTCATTGATCATGCTCAATGTTTTGAAAATCAGAGGGAAAACAAAGAATAGAGGACGACAATATTCAAGTGAAAGTCTTCGACTTTCCAGGTCTGGGCAAACTACATCTCAACAAGTTTGAATGCATAGTTTCAAAAAATTGTCATTATATTATGAGTTGTCTATTCCACTGAAAGAAAAAGAATTAATGAAAACAAAACATTGCCAGAAGTTTTCATGCTGCTTGAAACTTAGCGGACTTTTGTCTAATGGGAAACCCTGCACCACCTCTTAACAGCCTAAATCTTTGTCTACATTGTCAAGCTCTCGGGGTTCTCAATGATCTTTGAGAAGGTTTGAAGAAATGCTGCTAAGTCAGCACCATAAATAATTCGATGATCAGCAGTAACATTCACCTGAAATATATCCACCAAAGAACAATTATGAGATGAATGCATTGAGAAACTTCAATTAAAAATTGAGTAACATTTCAACACTGGCGCTTCGCAGATAATAATTCCAAATGTTCACTCTGCTCCTATAATTAGCATTTTGTAACTTGATCTTTAACACCAAATTGTGAAGCAATGACCAATATAATTTAATATCTCAAACTAGATAATACACGTGCTTCATTATACAGGGAATTATTTACAAACAACTTAGTCATGATAAGCAACATAAAGAATAGACAATAGAATAGTTCTCAAAATTTCATGTCAGATATAGAGTTGCTGTCCTCAATTTATTAGCTTGCATCCAAGAATCCTATCTTGAGAACAAGAACTGACGGCTAAACTCAAACATGCATTGTTCTTCTATAGTTTTATTACACAAACCAATGGATACAGAGCTGGCAAAGGCATGCAAATAAATCCTATGTAGACAGCCTAACCATTATGAGAGAGAGAGAGAGAGACTGTATCACACTGAGCTGTGCACCATAGAAAATGCCATAATCTAATGCATTCCAATTCATATGAGTCGATTTAAGTTGCATTTATAGTTTAAAAAAAACGAGTTCGGATTTTGATGAAGCAGGATCCTGAAGGTTTATGATTGTTCTCCGGTATTTCGTTGATATGATCAAGTATAATTATTAGAAGTTCCTAAAATGCAGATAGTACGAAAAAATTATATTTCTCACAATGCAGAGTTAATGATGGAGTATTGCACGATAGCTTTACCTTAACCAGCGTGTCACATAAATTTTCAGACTACACACACATGCACAAAAAAGAAAAAAGAAAGAAAAGATGGTGTACTGGCAATGACTTTCGGGAAGGAAAATATTCTGCCCCAGGTACTCCTACCTTTACAGCCAACATGTACATATAGGATTATGATGATTGTAGATAGGTAATGAAATGGGGTCAGATGTGTCTAGAGGTAGGAACAAGAACAGATATGTTAGCCATGCAAGAATGAATATTTCTATCAGCTACTTCCACTAATTTCGAGCTCCCTCACAAAAAGAGAAACAGGAACTGCATCGTTTTTTGAAAGAAATAAGGAATTAATGAATTGAGACCGATTAATCAATTCAAGCTTCTTTGTCATTAACCACAGAGGAAGTATGTAGATCTTCCTTGCCTTAATTCATCACCAACACAGCAACCAAGTTTCTTAGATTCTAGGGTACTCATTTCAGCCAGCTTTTGGTGGTTCATAATTGATAATATGAAATAACAAGAGGAATCTGAAGTTAACCAATCATACCCTTGTCAGAAGTGACGGCATTAGATGATGTAGCAGAATTATTTTAACAGTGTAATGCCTTTGTTCCCTTACTTAAGACATATAATTCCATAAATTTGATGTCTTAAAATTTTCATTAATTATAATTTCTTTAGCCGTCAATTTTCTGATGAAATCATCATCCTTTGTACCACACTACCAATAATATTATCCTTTTCCAGATTACTCTATGAGCACCACTCCAAGACTCCAGTTATTATAAACTTCAAACTCGAAATTGTAATCCTATGGATCATCGATGGCCAATATCATTATTAGAGCATAAAGAGACCTTATGACTCGACTTACAGAAATTTTATCTTAAACTAATTCCTATGCATATTTGACTATCTGCTTAGTATAGACTGACCTGAAGTAGTTATCTACTACACGGGATGAATAATCCATAGACCAAAAATGATTGTTAGGCTGAACCACCGAAATTATGGACTTTAATCTAATCCATAGAGTAACATTATGGACTTCTAATCTAATCCGTCTCAGCAATATATGTTTGGAAAGCCGGCTATATGGATTCAGCACTAACATTTCTTAGTTACTTACAGATCTACAAGGACCAATCACTACTAGAAAATTATTGAATAAAAATGTCATTTCACAAGAAAGCAACAAGATGCACCAAAAAAGACAGTGTTAAGCAAAATTTAAACCATGTGGGAGAAACCAACCAAGGAATTTCTGTTTCACATATTTTATCCATCACAACATATTTTGATACTGGTAAAATATGTAGAGAAACTGTGCAAAATAAAAATCACATTAACTAGAGCATAAACTCACCAGCATCTTATTTTTTACGCTAAAGAACCCATCTTTATCGGCTAAAACAGTAGGCTTTGATGCTCCAACAGCCATAATGGCTCCCTAAACAGTCACAAAAACATATTCATAATACTGATGCCATTTCGTAAAAGATACTACATCAGTGTGAGTAAACCAAATAAGACGTATCGTATCTCTCACCTGGCCTGGAGGGAGGATAGCATCAAATCTGTCCACTCCAAACATGCCCAAATTGGACAATGTGAAAGTTCCTAAATGCAAAATGACCATAAGCTCAGTATTCATGCCTACATGAACCTCAAATTTACGTTAGGTATCCTTAAAACAGCTATAGAACTATCACTACTTAGATACCTGAATTATACTCATTAGGTTGGAGTTGTTTGGCCCGGGCCTTCTCCACCAGTTCCTTCCATTTTTGAGACAACAGATAAAGATCCAACTATGGAAATCACAAACAAGTCAACAACATCAGAAAGAAATTCCAAATTCTAAAAACCAAAAACTAAACAAAGGCACTGAGCCAAATGTAGTTCATACCTTATCAGCATCCTGAAGAACCGGAGTGATCAACCCTCCATTAATCGCCACAGCCACTGCAATATTTATACTGCTATTATGTGTAAAACTCTTCCCATCTTTACAGGTTGCATTCACCACTGGATGCTGAGCCAGTGCCATTGCGGCAGCTTTTGCTAACAATGCAGTCATGGTCACACCCTTCGGCTTCACCTATCACCAATGAAACAAATAGCAATTTATTTCAAAACTCCAAACCTTAACATTACTGAATGTCCTTCCAATACTAGCTGTATCAATCACACTAATCTCAAATGGCACAAACCCATCTTGAAGCACAGTAACATAGATTTTCGAAATTCAAAACCACAGTTAAATGTATCTTGATATGCATTAAATAAACTAATGTCAAATATTTCTCATCAAAGACTATATTCTTCCCACCATTTTGTAAACTTGGAAAATCAATATGGTTTATAACCATATTAAGATATTGAATACTAATGTCTTATATTGATTACTCTTATCATTTTTTAGCTCATATAATAGATCACAGGTCGAGTAAATAATTTCCATCTACATGATAATCAATAAAAAGGAATTCCATATATCATTCTCATATCAGTTATTCAAGATAACATCTCATCGTGGCTTTGTTCATGATTCATGAAATAATTCTAAATTTTCAGGAAACTTGTTATCAAAACAGGATGTATCCAACATTTTAAAAGTCAAGAGTTTCAAGGCCAGCCGAATAATACCAGAATTACATAACTTATCATAACGGTGAAATTGTGATTTGCAACTAGATTATAACACTTCAAATAAATGTACCTTCTCATAGAGAGCATCGAGAGCATCAGTGGCGATTGGATACCCAACCCGGAAAGTTGGCACTGTCAAACTCTCCAGCATATTCTTGGACACTGCAGCTTGCATTGTAGTAAATGGCACCACAGTCGACCCAGGAATCTCTGGAAAGCTCGATGGAGCTTTTGGAGGAACTGCAGCAGGAGCAGCAGACGCCACTGGAGCAGCTGGGGCAGCCACATTGCTCTTGGAAGCAGGCGTAATTCCAGCTGCCTTCTCGACATCCTCAGGTGTAATTCTCCCAAACGGCCCTGTGCCTACCAACTTACCAATATCTACCTTGTGCTGCTTAGCCAATTTATTGGCATATGGAGTCGCCACCACCTTTCCCGGTGTAGAAGGAGCCGCGGTGGGAGCCGGAGCAGCAGCAACTGCCGGAGATGGAGCATCCACTTGAGGGGCAGGCGAGGATTCCTCAACCTTAGGTGCTGACGGAGGAGGGGCCGAGGAGGATTGAGATGTAGCTTTAGCCTTAGCTTCAGCTATTTCATCCTCTGTTTCTGCTAAAATTCCAATCGCCGCACCAACAGGAGCCGTCTCTCCTTCGTTAATAACAATGGCCGCCAATATTCCATCATAAAACGTCTCCACATCCATATCAGCTTTATCGGATTCCACAACAACAACAGATTCACCCTTTGACAATACATCACCTTCCGATTTAATCCAGCTGACGATTTTTCCCTCGGTCATTGTCGAACTCAACGCGGGCATAAAGATCTCGCGAATCTTCGCCCGCACGACTGGAACTCGTGATCCAGAACGGGGTTTCAAGAAAAATGCAGAAGGGCGTATGACAGGAGTTGAACTGAGGGATGATGAGAAGGAGAGGGATGGCGTTCTTGATTGTAGAAGGGAGGCCATTGTTGTGAGAATGTAGCAATTGCTATGTGCGATCTTGGTGTTTGTATTGAGAAGTATTATGTGGAAATGAGTGTATATTATGCAGAGGAATTGTGGGTTAGGTGGGGTGGGCGGAGAAGACGAGGGAGAGTTGGTTTGTAGTTAGCTTAGAGTAGTCCGCCTGCCAGTGTGTGTGTG